GGGGTTAGGTTCGGGGGGGGGGAGGCCCTAGAATCTAGTTCTGGGGGTGGTACTGTTTTGTCGTCTCACAAGGATTTGTGGTACTTGCTGCTGCTGACAGCGGTCTCGCTGGGGGGTTTTCTTTCTTTTTTTTTTCCCCTTGCGTGCAGCTCTCCCAAGTTTCTAGCACACTCTCGTGCCACCTCTGTGGCCATTCTTTTCTCTGGAGGCAAAATCAGGAACTGGACACATGGCAAGCTCCTACCGGCTGGGGGCCTTCACAGCAACTGGTGGCCTCACTCCTGCTGCAAGCATTCTTGCCAGCCTTGTCTAACACGTGTCAAATCGGCTTTGGGTACCCTACTCTTGCACCCAGAAGCACGTCAGGTGTGTCTGTGCAGCTCAGAAAGGGTTCAGCAATTCTAGAGTACACTCAAGTACTTGCCCCCGCAGTTGCGAATGGCGTGCTGACCCAAAAGCTGAAAAAGAAACAGCTGAATCTCGCCAGCAAGACTGATCTGCTGCTTCACTTGCCTGCTCACTACTAATGCACAAGGATGTCGCAGTAACCATTGCAGCCGCTGGCAGAGCCTTGCCTGAAGTACCAGGGTTTGAAAGGCATGAAGATGAGGTTACCTGGTCTCCTTATTGCTGGACTTCAGCGACAAGTTTGCGATTGCTATAGGTAGTTGAAGCGCTGTAAGCAATTACTGGGCTGACGCTGCTGCTTTTGTACGACAAAGTCAAGGGTTGAATATCTAGCAATACTAATAATTTTGCGGTCCTCTTTAAGTTGTACTCAGGGCTGGCTTGCCAGTGCAGACATGCAGAGAGGACTTAGAAACAGCTGTGTCCTCTCCATTTGCTTTGAAAAAGTTTAAGAGTATCCGTGCTCTGGCACGTAATATATTACTCGACGTTCACTATTTCTTAAGGCAAAACGACGTGTGGTGGTATGGTTGTGCGTAACTTCATATTGTGCTGTGATGACTAAGATGTGTAACTGCTTCTGGGATATAGCCGGGAGCTATTCAGGGTCACGGCAGCTAAGAAACTGCTAAAAAGCTATCTAGAGTAATGGAAAGTAGGGGGTGAGGAAGGTAAATATAGGCTTTGGATATACCTTTTTAATAATTATTTGCACTTCTCTTTCACTTTTCATCCAAGATCAAATGCTTTAAAAAAGAACTATTAAGCACTGTTTTAGAAATGAGGAAGTGAAAGCACAGAAAGGTGAAATATGTGATCTTACGCTATGAAATGAATCAAAAACAAAGGTGTGGAAATTTACAGAATGGTTTGCTTTTTTTCTAAATCAGATCCACTAAGATCGATGTTGATTTACATTTGGAATAATTATTTCCAAGCAGAGGAGGAATAAGAAGATTCAGTTGGAGTTCAGTTGGAGTTCTGGACTCCAAAAGAATAAAACACAGACTCTGAGGATACGTTTAATGGCAGACAGGCAAATTAAGACAATTACTTACTTCATTCTCAGTTTATGTCGCATGGATAAGGATATTCTAACCAGATTTGAGAAAATGCCGCTTTTTCTTTGCAAAATCTTTGACTTACAAAAGTAAATACAATGTCCTACCATTTGGTTTCTCGGGTGGTGACCATTCCACAGCCAGTTCTGTAGAGCTGATGGTTTCTATCATCGGCGGGTGTAGCCCTTCTGGAGGAGCTTGTGCAGTAATTACTGTTACTGGCTGGCTCTTTAAGCAGCCTCCACTAGTACAAGCTTGCACAGAAAAAACATACTTTGTAAATGGAATGAGATTCCAAATAGTTGCTGAAGTTTTTAGGCCTTCATACTGACCGCAAGGCTGAAGATCACCCAAGCTAGTACATGTCAAAATGTATTTCTCTATGGGCCCAGAGTCATTGGAGAGGCTCGTCCAGTAAAGTAAAACAGAGTGGTGGCTAACAGGAGAGACGGGATTTAAATGCAAGCTTCCTGGAGGCGCCCCAGATTTTGTTCTGTATGTCACTGAGGCACTTCTCGTAAAGCCATGAACATTGCTGGCTTGGACGTAATAGGAATAGAAGGTATACGGAGATAACACGGTATCGGTGAAGGTCTGAACACCTAAAACAAAGAGGCGAGAAGAAAATTGTAATGAGTCTAACACATTAAAAATAATCTTAATTTCCATACTTAAACTCTTTCCAGCCCTAATCCAAGATGCAAGATATTTACGCCTGTTTGCATGCTCTTGAGATCATTATGAACATTTTAACTTCTCAACTTTTTTATTTTTTAACAGGGAAAACTCCCTTCCCCTTTTCCCTTTATTATCTTCCACTGCCCATTGGCATCGCTAGAGAAATAATTTTTACAATGAATTTCTCCTAGTTCCTGCTTTAATCATGAACAAGAGTAATACAACTATCTTCTTTTTCCTCCTCTGCTTGGAAATAATTATTTCAAATGTAAATCAACGTCGATCTTAGTGGATCTGATTTAGAAAAAAAGCAAACCATTCTGTAAATTTCCACACCTTTGTTTATAATTAAACATTTACAGTAAAATTAATTTCTTCCTAATTTGCCAGATCGCCTAGTTCAGGCAGATGTGGCGATATTGCCTTACAAAGAATAAATAAGCAGATAACAGTTATGGGAAAAAAAAAATCTAAGAATTAGCAGAGAAGTCTGTTTTTAAAACCATCCGTCATGTGTAGTAACTAATTCTATTACCAGTATAACTTTGTTAGGGATTAGGCGATTGCCAAGAGTTGCTGGTCTAACTTGCGTAATAATATTTTAGGTTTTTGAAACTGAGACCGCTGCTGTTGTAGGATACTTTTGTGATGCCACAGATTTTACTGGTAAACGCTTTATCTTTTAATATATGTGCAATGGAGCTTTGTGAACTTGCACTTACATGCACAAATATTTGTGCATGAGAAAACAAGCATGCATGTATGCATGGTCACTTAATCCAGCTGATTTTTGCCCAGGAAAATGGAGAATAAGATAGTAGTATCCATTTATTTTATTGGTTCTTTACTCGGAAATCTTAAAGGCACAATCTGGTTGTCCAGCCATCGTATATCACCTTACTCATTTCTTTCAAAAAATCTTTTGAACGGATACTGGCACACCCAGTATAGATTTAAAAGTTCTGCTTTTCGGATCAAATTTTCTGACACAAGTGTCAGCATCCTTCATGTCTGCTCACACTGTATTCATCATATGGGCCAAGGCTGCTCAGATGAACCTCTATTTCCCCTTTGAAGAATTACTTTGCATTGGGATTTGTTCTCAGTGTTCACTTTACTGCAGAACTGCAAGATAACTGTGGATAAAAGACCTTCCTCTGTCCTTTAGTGTTTCATTGAGTACCGGACTCAAGTGAAGAGCTCAGCTGCAGTCAAAGTTTGTTGTAACAAAGAAGCCTGATTAAATAAGAGAAATTTACCATTTGGCAGAATCCTTCAGCCGTTCATAAAAGGAAAAGTCAAACACAATACTTAAGGTTTTGATCAGAAACTCTGCTTAAGTCTTTGACTTGCAACCTTGATGACCTTTAAATTGCATTTGAATACATTTCAATTACCAAAGCAGGAAAATTACCCTGGCAGATGGACCAAGGTCATTACCAATTTACTAACATCTCTACCTTCCCTTTTGCTGAAGCCCCTGTATCCTCTATGGCTTTAGAATAAAAAAATATTTTTTATTCTTCAGAGAGTGATGTAGCTTAATTTGTTTTAAATGCTAACCCAAACTGCAACAGGTGATGTAATTGTTGGGTGGAATACTTGAGAGGCTGTGGCACCTCTCCATTTTGATTTGCTATTGGAGGCCTCAAAACACAATAAATAAAAGTACAGAGAAGGACAGAAGCAGAAGGGTGACTCAAATGCACTGGCATCGCTCTAGAGAAAGACTCTGAAAAAATAAAGATCAAGTGAATCTCCAGTAAGAAGGAAGGAATGTCAGAGGTAGACTGAGAACCGAACTAGGGAAACAGTGACACAGAAAAGATGGGAAGCAAGAGTCAAACTCTCAGATTTGAACAAATGAACTCTTCACTAAAAAGAAGCCGTAAGAGGATTCCTCAAATCATCAATACTGATCTAACAGTCCAGTTAGAAAATGGGCAAAGAATGGGCACTATACGCCACATTAGACAACAAATGGTCTTTATCAAGTATGTTATGAGGGAGTAAAACATTCAATTACTCTTAAACAATACTTGTTTTTTAGAAAAGGAGACAGGAAAAAACATTCGGTAACAGTATTTTTTTTTTTCAATTCTTAGGTGGTTATTCTTAGTCTTACAAATAAAAGCAAACAAAGCTCGTATGTCAACATAACTTCCCCCACTGCTCTTGAGTGTGCCTCAGCAGGGACACTAGCTAGCTCAACTTGCCTTGTGCCTTTGGTGCATACGTGCATCCCATACGTGCAGAACGGATACTGAAGGTCATTTGGCAAAAGACACCCCCAACTGTAGTGAACTGCGGTTACTACTAACTAGGGTGGCCTTTACCTGGTAAAAACAGGTCCAGTCTTTTGAGCCTTCTTTCAGAGCTAATTATGCCAATTTTGTTTCAGAGTGAGGACTTAAGTTGTTCTGCAGTGAAGAGCTGTAGGCTTGGTACAGGTTGGCCAGCACCTTAATTATAGCTGTAATCTTAGTAATGCAGGAAAATTTTATTGTCTTCCCTCTTGGAGATATAAGTGGACTTAATCTTGTATCTCAATCAAGCTTAACAGAACATTAAATACAAGTGCTGTCAGTAGCCAACTTCTTTAATGAAGGCAGCAGTACATAAAGCTGAATTAAATTATTAATGAAATTACTCCTGCAGAACTCACACGACGGTAGAAACACTCTGTAAAAAGTGAGTAAATGTTAACATTTTCTAACAAAATATCCACTATCTCTGATTAATGGCAATCTAATCAGATTATACATTAATTTTGAATCATCTATAAATTGTCACGGAAGTAATTTATGTCATCTTTCAAAACCAGTACAAATTTGGCAAAGTACTACATGTAATACAGGGTCTTGATGTAATTAACGTCAGTGACTAAAATGCTCATGAAGTGTGTGTCCTTGGCTAAACACGGCACTGCCATGGTCTCAGTTTCAAGAGAACTGATGGGTCAGCACTTACTATTGTAACAGAAGTACAGGAAGGTTACTGTAGGCAGACCTTTGCAGTTGTTTTATATACTACTGTGCCTGCACAGAAATGAAATTATAGATATTTAATGTAACACCATAGACAGTGTGAAGATACAGAAACTGCAAAGTGTAAGCAGGATAAAAAAACCCCAAACAACCCTTATTTTTCCACAATCACGCTGAAGATTCAGCATTTCAAGATGTGACATCTGGGTATGCGGTGGGTTTTCTTGTTTGTTTTTTTACTTTGTTAGTGGCCATGCTCACAGTGGCGCCTGCACACCATGTTATAGCAACAATACCTATTGCATTTGCTGGGGTAATAATGATATTGGACCAGATTCCCAAAGGGAAACGTGCTGCGCCCCGGGAAGCTTCTGCTGGAGGCTGGCACTGGAGCTGCCACCGATGCTGGGCTCAGCTCTCTGCCTCCTTTGGAAGCTGCTCCATGGCTCAGAGAGTCACTACATAAAAATGCCAGGATTTTCTGTATCCTTGTGGCTTGCACACTCCCCTATAGCAGAATGGAAGAGAGAGGTCCCCTCCCTGCTCCACAGACTATATTTTGTTTCTATCCAGTAACTGTTTAAAGTAAATCTGACTTTCCAGTATGGCCCTGGCATAACTAAACCTGGCATAACTGGCAGCAACTAAACCAAACATATCCTACAGATGCTTCCAGCTTGTCTTTAGCATTCCCTAGGAGGCATCAAAGGCCCAGACCAAGTGGAGAACACCTCACTACTCCACTTTACCTGCGCAGTGGGCAGTAAAGGCAAGGGCAGATTTTAGAGGAAGAAAAAAATGCACAAATGAAGACGAGAGCATCTTAAAGGACCCCTAACTTATGCATGACAGACACATAGACTAAGACAGACAATCCTGGAGGGAAAAAGGGGGACGGGACAGAAAGAGCCATTTCCTCTAGACTGTGAAAGCAGGTAAATGCTGACTTTCTCTCATAGTTTCTCCTGTCCTCATCTCACAACCTTTCATCAGCACGAGATAAAGCTTGCGTATTTTGACTGTAATGCAGGAGCCAGCTTCACTAAGAGACAGATCAGCAATGCTTATTGCAAGGTAAAGACACCACCTTCGTGATAGTGAGTGATCATTACTTTTTAAACATGGACTTGACCTTTCTAAACTTGGCATAGGTCAAACAAATTGAGACGTGCCTAATTCATGGCAACTCCTTCTACATACAATACAGTGGATTTTTCATGCACTGCTATCACTAAAGAATTTACTGTCAGCTCAAGAAGCACAGAAACCAATGCACTGAAAGGATCTTCTAACACTACAGTGTTTCTGCTTCATGATCACTTCTGGCTCTTCCTTCTGTGCTACTGAGCTCTGTTCACAAACCCCAAAGAACTTGGTGTCTAAGCAGGGCTGTGAAAAAGCACATCACAGGGAGGAATGAATGCTGATCTACTACTGACCGACAGCAGGCATGACAGCCCAGATCTATTCCCAGTTCTGCTACTGACTTGCTACTTCTCTCTGTAGTAGCAAGTAAATTTGTCATTTGTAAAGCAACTGGAATCACAAAATTCTTCAAATGTTTAGGTCAAAAATATAATACAGGACAACAAAAGGATACACCTGTCTATTGCCATATTTTACTACTCAGAAACCTGGCAACCTACTGCAACCTTAAAGTTAGCCAAAGCAGGTTCAAATGACGTTACGAGAAGAAACCATGCTCTCTCTCTTCAGGAGTGGCAATTAGAAACGATGCAGGTTTATAAGGATAGGTGTTTTGGGACATTTCTGAGCAATTTTGTCCAACGTGTTGCCAGTGCAACACAGGTTTTACTGCAATAAAGGCAGGTGCTATTTAATTTTTTTTTTCCCAATAAACAGCATCATGATGTAAAATCTGCATCTTATCAAACAGGTTAGCTCATACAGCGATGTGCATCGAGCTCCATGACAGT